TTTCCCCCATCCACGATACCAATCCCCTTCCCTTTCCCTCACCCACTGAAGCCAACCCCACCGAATTTTACCCCCTCCCCTTCTACCCTTTTCGGCCACCCCTAACCAAACCACCACCCCAAAACCACCGTGGGAGAAAGGGAGGGGGAATTGGCTTCGTGGGTGGGGGAAAGGGGGGGGGTTGGCTTCGTGGGTGGGGTAAAAGGAGGGGGGTGAGGTCGCTGGCGCCGGCAGTTGAGGGGAGGGGGTGGTTGGGCTTTTTTTTTCCTTTCTTTTTTAATTTTTTTTTTAATTTTTAATAAACTTAACGGAATTTCTAACAAATTCCGATTTAGGTGGTGGCAAGGTAATTTTTTTTTTTTTTTTAAAAACGGTAGCAAATGTGAATAGAGGTGTTTTTCCGGGTAGAGAATGTCAAAATTTCCTAAAGATTAATCCAAAAATATTTTACCTGGCAATACATGTATTTTATATATTGATAAAAAGTATAGTCGAATCAAACATATGAATAGTGCAAAAGTCAGTGTTGCGATTATTACCAAACGGAGGGAGTATTCAATTTGATGTCGTGAAATTAATTATATTCTTTTGACATGGGATTGAAACTTCTTACAGAGACGTTTTTGTTCAAATCTTGGTATGAACAATCAAGCCATGAAGGCTGCTCAAGAAGCTGTTCAGAAATCAGAAGAAATTGATATAAGGTGGTACTTTTAAATGTATTATAGTTCAATCTTGTTTGCTTTGCTTACAAAAGGATATTTTATAGAAATAGGAATTGTTTCCAGCAAGTTAAAATATTTCTATTTGTCAAAAAAAAAAAAAAAAAAAAAAATAAAATAAAAAATGCTATTTCTAAGTCAAGATACTGGTTTGAAACTATTGGAAGTATCATACAAAGTATTTCTGTATCAACAAGACCACACACTATTTTATAAAATTAAGTTGCATGAAGCTGGTTCAGATGTTGTCCCTATATTTTCAGTTTGCTATTATCCCATACTGAGCCATATTCTCTGAAGTGCTATGTTGAGCTGTGAAAATGCATATTTGTGTATATTCCATAAAACAAAGCAGAAGAGATAGAGCATGTACATTATCTCCAGGAATACTTAGCCAGATAGATTTACGTAAAATAATTATTTTTACTTTGAAATAAAATAATTATTGTTAAAGGTTGTAAGAGTTAGTTTGTGGTGCACCATGTGTCCATGTTAATTCTGCTGTTATAATATCTTGTTTCATAGATATGCAAGTCACTAAAGCTCTGTTGTGTTATACAAGGAAGAATGCATGAGTATTTTTTTTTTTTTTTTTTTTTTTTTTTTTTTTTTTTTTTGTGGTAGGTACCACGCTACATAAATTTTTAAGCATCCATTTACTAACATGCTCTTTTTCTTGCAATCAATACAGGAGAAGTCCCATATCTATTGCTGCAGCAGTGATATATATTATTACCCAACTTTCTGAGGAAAAAAAACCCCTTCGAGGTTTGTCTTCTGTAATGTCATTTTGAAGCTTTTGTTGCACATATAGGAATCTATTCAGATTCTTGTTTTATCAGGAAGATTACGACCTGCTATTGCTATTATGCAATTTCTGAATATTGATGCACGTACACAATCGTTAAGACTCAATAATCTACAGCTACCTGTATTCTTTTATCCTGGGTTTGGATGTTAAATCTTGTTCACCTTTAAAATGCAGCTTATTTTAGATGTGGGAGATGCTTTTGTGTGTGTGTGTGTGTGTGTGTGTTGGGGGGGGGGGGGATGCGTCATTGCTGTATGTTTATTTTTCAAAAGAGACTTAAAGGTGTGTCGCAACCTTCTTCTCTAAAGGGTGGCTAGATGTCAATTGGTTAAGAATCAATGCTCTAGAGAGCAGAGACTATTCAAAAATTTGTGGGGACAAAAGCAATAAGGGGATAACATACATGTGCAAGCATTTAGTGAGAACATTTTGCAGTTTTGCTTCGTTGCCTATTTGTAAGTTGTAATGTGGACAATTTCTAGTTGTTACTATGTTTGGATAGAGAGAAATGAGGGAAAGGAAAAGGAGATAAAAGGAGGGATACACCATCCTTTTATTCGGATACTAATGCAAGGAGGGAAGGGGAGGGTCGAGGGAGTTGGAAGGATCTATTTTCTCCCCTTTTAATAAATCAAATTCGTCCATTGTTGGAGAGGTTTCAAAGGAAAATGGAAGATCACTTTCTTTGTTGTAGTGGTTGGAACTTGAGCTTTGGCTTACTTCTCTTTTAGTTATAGCGTTATTTCAATTTTTAGTACCACCAAGGATTTTGAACAGTATTCTGTTCCTATTGACTGTCCAGTTGCTTAAAGTGTTCGAGTTTGTCCATTATAGAGAGAAACTAGGTTGTGGATAGGGAATGGATTATCCACTTTTGGCATCGAGTCTTGATTTTTGGATATTTCCTACTACTATATATGGATGAAATTGTTAAATGTTTGCAGTATAAGATTTAGTGGTTTGTTAAGGAAAAGAATGGTCTTGCATGCCGGACTGTTAAGTGGATTTCTCTAGATCGGGGTTTGATGAGAGGAAGAAATGAAAAGTGTAAACCAATCCAAATTGAATGATGGTTATACAACCTTGTTTAGGAAGTAACTTACTGGAGGAGAGCTTTTAGCCTTTTGAGGCCTGTTATAGGTTTGACCATTCTAAAAATTGTTAATTTGAGATATGGTAAACAGTTAAACACAGATTTTTGAAAGAGCTTTTGAGCTCAAAAAGTTGTATTTTAAGGAGATCATAGAAGCTATTGAAATTAATTGAACATTTAGCTTTTTGGTTAGTGCTTACACTCAAGTAGTAATTACCAGCTACAAGCTATAGTAAAACCAAACAGGGCCGTATTTTCCTTAAATTGCTACTTTCGTTATTAACAATTGTGGATTAGGCCTTCTCTGCTATCGTTGTAATTGAGGATTTTTCCCGTGTGATATTTACGCTGTATGTCGTAATGTAATGATCGTTTGTCCAATCCTTGGTAGTTTGGTTTTTTACTTGAATAGTACCAACGACCTATTGAGTCTCTGTGCTGAAAATGTGTCTGATTTCATGTAAATTTGAGATTGGATAGTAAGGTTGGTTTGCTCATCGTATTAAGAGCATGTTTGGTAAGAGTTTTTTTTGGGTTGGAAACGGATTCAATTTAACTATTACCGCTACCAAGTGTTTGGTTAGAAGATTTAGGTAACAATTACCATAGGGGTAATGGTTTCCACCTATTTGTTACGTCTCTAAAACTTAAGGTAACAATTACCCTTATCCTCCGTAAACAAAAAGAAAGTGAGTTAAGTGTAAGTGATTCCTTTCCATAGTTAAACCAAATGAATGAAAAGGTAAGAGTTAGATGATTCCTTTCTTCCCTCTTATATGTTTCCTTTCCACTTTGTTTCCAGTATTCCAAGTGTAACCAAACAGTTCCTAAGCACGAAAAACTTTCTTCTCTTGCAGATATCTCACTTTCTACTGGTGTTGCTGAAGGAACAATCAGAAATGCTTACAAGGACCTTTATCCTCATATTTCCAAGATAATACCCAATTGGTATGCCAAGGATGAGGACCTGAAAAACCTTTGCAGTCCTTAGAAGGAACGTGGGAGCTCTACGGACCGTCTTACAGATTTTTGCCTTTTTGGTGTGGGGAATACAAAATGGAAGCCTGCCCATTACCTTAAAGATATAACTCACATAAAAATTGCTTAACTCCTGATCGAATGTGCAATTGTTTTGTCTTAAACTTTAAAGAGGCGCACCCATCTTTGTTGGGGGTGACATATCAACATAAACTTCTCTGTTGCATTATTTTAGCAAATGTAGTATCTGAATGGGATAAATGACAGGCGCAGGTGAAGAGTTAGGGTGTTGGGTGTAACTGTAAACTCTTTGCTTGGAAGAGGGTGATATGAAATCGGAATTTAGATTTCTATGCATTTATAAGTTTTTTTTTACGGGATTTATGAAAAATGAACACTATGATTAGTGATGATACTTAGAAGTTTTTCAGCATTTTTATTTTCCCTTATTGATTGCTGATTTTTTTGGTTGTAACTCTCTAGTACTATATTAGTCTGAAACGATGAGGGTGTTCTTGATTTTGACCTCGTTACAAGATGCAACCACCTGAATGTTACTGCTGATCATCAGAACAGTTTCTCTTATTATCAAACCACAACTTTTCAGGTTCTGGGGAAGATAGTAAAGAACCCAACTTCATATGGTTAGGGAATCTAGGGATCCCTTATGTTGAGCGGTAGATCTAGAGAATAATACACAAAAAAACATTTTTATGGTATTTATAGTTCAACAATGAAAACATGGAGGTTTTGTGTACATAATTGACGCGATGAGATCAGTGCTCCCAGTTAAGACTTCTTTAAAACCGTATTAGTCTCACCTGAACAGCTAGAACACATTGTGGCTAAGAAAGCGTATTCAAAGGCTATGTTATCATGTTATGCACCAAACAAAAAAAAATGATCTTACCTTATTAGTAAAGCCTCAAATATGAAAACAGGGAGGTTGTGTACAGTGTACCATAATAAATTTAATCAATTATTAAAAACCAAGTTATTCATGTGCACCAAAAAAGAGTAATAAGGAGTATCAGGTATCACCCTTAAAACATTGAAATCACAATAATCTCACTTGATTTTTTGCAAAAAATATTCTAATTTTTAAAATTTATGAGCAATCACTGTTGACTTATCAACGGTAGGCTGGAGCCATTACAATTATTTTGCAAAATTTATAAAGCAATATTGACTTATCAACTGTTGAATGGAGAAATTACAAAAAACAAATTAAGGGTATTTGTACTTGAGTTGCCTTAATCAGTAACCACTCATTTTTTACGAGCACATCTGAAGATCGAAGGGCATTACTACACTACTACCAGTAGTACACCCTCACCCTCACTCATCTTCACATGTTTTCTTCTCTTCTTATCTTGTTTTTCCCACAATTTTGAAGATGGCGGAAGCCATCATTTTGCCTATTGCTAAATCCATACTTGGTAAGATCGCTTCCTTTACCGGTGATCTTGCCATTTCCTCTGTTTCTGAAGAATTAAAAGCGGCCAAGTCAGCTAAGAAAGATATCAATAAGATAGCCGATAAGCTCACTGCTATTTGTGCTGTCCTCCATGATGCTGAAAACAAGCAATACTCGAACGAAGCCATGAAAGTTTGGCTAAGAGATCTCAAGCATGTTGTTTATGATATTGACGATCTCTTGGATGAAGTCGCCTTTGACGCTTTACAATGCCGTGTCATTGAAGGTCGTTTTCGCCCCAAGCTTAGGTACTATCTTTCCTCCTCAAACCCAATCATTTTTTCTTTTCATGTGAGTCACAAATTACGAGACCTCCGTGAACAGCTAGAACACATTGTGGCTAAGAAAAATGATTTTGGTTTGACTGAAAGTCCGATTGAGTACTCAACTGCTGACATCAGGAATCCTTTGGATAGTAGCTCATATGTCCATGTACCTGATGTTGTTGGAAGAGATGAGGCTAAGCAAGATGTTATAAATAGATTGGGTAGTGTCAGTGATGTTAGTGAGCTCTCTGTGCTTCCTATTGTTGGGATGGGTGGGATTGGAAAAATTACTTTAGCTAAGTTTGTGCTTCCTAACACTTGGATCATAAGTTGTGGGTATGTGTTTCGGACACGTTTCACATACCCAAGATCATTGAGGACATTTTGAAAGATGGTACCGGTGACAGTACTCCAAACCAAGATATGGGTATATTGGTGAAAAAACTCCATAGTTTGTTGAGTGGAAAAAAAAATACTTGCTAGTGTTGGATGATGTATGGGTTGAGGATTTCAAAAAGTGGAAAGAGCTAAATGATGTGCTAGCTGTTGGTAATTCGGGGAGTATAATTTTGATCACCACAAGAAACTCCAAGGTAGCTTCTATCACTCAAACATTTGAATCGTCTTATGATTTGGATAGTCTTCCGATGGAAGTTTGCTGGTCAATGTTCAAGCACCTGGCATTCAAGGATGGCGAGGAAGGCAAATGTCCGAATCTTTGTGAAATTGGCAGGTCTATTGTTAAAAAATGCCATGGCATCCCACTTGTTGTAAAGACTTTGGGGAGTATATTAAGAAGTGTAAGGGACGAACGAGAATGGCAACGAATTAATGATATGGAAAGTTTTACAGAATTGAAGCAAGATTATGGTGATGTCTTACCACTATTAAAATTAAGTTACGATAAATTACCATCTCACTTAAAACCATGTTTTGCTCACTTGTCCTTGTGCGTGAAAGATTATCCATTATTTTCACCTTTTGTAACATCTGTGTGGAGCGCACTTGGATTGTTGCCACTGGATCACAGAAATAAGGATATTGTTGGCCTGGGATACTCTTACTTAATGGAACTGACATCAAAGTTCTTGGTTGAAGAAACAAGTGATCATGTTACGGGTGTATTATGCGTTAGTAAAATGCACGATCTTTTGCATGATCTAGCAGTGAACATTATGGCAGAAGAGTTAGTTGTTGCAACTTTGGGACCACTGTTTTGCTGTTGGAGAAAGTATTGGTCTGATTGTGAATGACACATATCTATTTGAATACTCAAGGCCTCAAGGGCATATATGTCTAAGTCGTTCTTCTGTATGATACAATGATTGATGCTATGTATCTATCCTTTAAATGCTTTATAGGAGTTACATGGTTTTACATGTAACGTTTTTTACATCTATCCTCAAGGGCATACAATGATTGATTGTTTGTTTGTACTTTTAAAAACATTTGATTTATTGTGTTAAAGTTTTTGGGTGGAACGAGATTATACTTCCCTACTTATAAACATGAGAAATTAAGAACACATACATACAAACGGGTGTGTTTGAATAGGTAAACTCTTAGATATGATAGATCTAATTTACAATAATTTGTTATGAATCACTAATATTTGAGTCACCATGTTTAAATGTTAGTATTATTAAAAATTTAAAATATCCTGTTGACACTAGCAATTGCAGCCACAATTTCAAATCTTCAATAGGACTATGAACTACTTGTGAATATTATTGGCATTAATTGTGAAAGATGAACTACTGCCCTTTCAAATCATCACAAGGAGGAAGCTGAATGTAACTTCCACAAAATCACTACAATATGTTATTCAGTCATAAGTTACAACAATCATTTTAACTTCCTATTAATTAGTTTGGTTAATAATCAGTTCAGGATCAGAGGAAAAGCAGAGAAAACACGTACCTGTAATCGCGCTTGATGGCTATCATATCAGTGAATCATGTCGAACTCTCTACACTCGCTCATCAATATTGTTAGCTAGTTCCTTTATATTGCTGAATTGCCTTGTCTATCTCATGAAGTATTTTTACAATTAACTAATGAATAAATATCAAAGAGACCGCCTATTAAAATATAAAATAGGCGATCTCTTTGTTGCTGCTATTGTCAGATAATGAATAATTTTTTGCGCTACTTTCATATTTCATTAAAGAGCCTGTTATGTTAAAAAACTGGTCTCTTAAGTTATTCCACTTTTTTTTTTTTAATAATTCTTGTTTTTATTTATACTATATTTGTGCAACTAATTTAATATTTTCCCACAACACTAATTAAGTAAAAAAATCATAAAGTTAGTTTAATTTAATAGTTTTATAGTACTATTATGTATTTTTATGTCTTATTTTTGGATTGAAATTATTTTGGTAAAATATAACTTTTTTTAATATAATTTTTAGATTGAAACAAGTGATTAATTATTGATGGTAACTCATAAGTTCGAAAATCCTGAATCCGCCACTGGGTATGACAGTATATATAGTATGCTCACATTTTAATATACGGAGTACTTGGGTAGTTGGGTTGCCTCAAGTCAAGTCCACATTTTAATATACTAGAATAGTACAGCTAACCAAGGCCCTACAGAATTAATTTATTTATCTAACTACAAAGTATCACGTAACTACTCCACTGTCTTTCGTATTTGCTAGACTTATTTTCTTGTCTTTACTACTTTCTTGTTTTCCTCTTTCTCACAAAATAAATGTGTAAATGGCGGAAGCAATCATATTACCGATTGCTAAATCTATACTTGGCAAGATCGCTTCCTTTACTGGCGATCTTGCCATGTCCTCTATTTCTGAAGAAATAAAAGCAGCCAAGTCTGCTAAAAAAGACATCAATAAGATAGCCGATAAGCTCACTGCTATTTGTGCTGTCCTCGAAGATGCCGAGGAGAAGCAGTTCACCAATAAGGCCATGAAACTATGGCTGAGAGAACTCAAGAGTGTTGTTTATGATATTGACGATCTCTTGGATGAAGTGGCCTTTGATGCTCTGCTACGCAAGGCTAATGAAGGTCATTTCCGCCGTCAACTCAGGTACTATCTTTCCTCTTCCAATCCCATCATTTCCCGCTTCAATTTGAGTCACAAAGTAAAAGATCTTCGTGAAACACTAGAAAGCGTAGTAAATAAGAAAAATGAATTTGGTTTGACTGAGCGTCCAGTTGAATTCTCAAGGGATAGTATTAGGGATCCCTTTGATGGATGTGCCCATGTGTGTGAATCAGATGTTATGGGAAGAGAAATGGATAAGCAGGATATTATAAGAATATTGATAGATGTGACCGATGTTAGTGAGCTCACAGTGCTTCCTATAGTAGGAATGGGTGGCATCGGAAAAACTACATTAGCTAAGTTGGTGTATCATGATGTCCACCACTTTGATCTTAAGCTATGGGTATGTGTTTCGGACAAGTTTCACATACCAAAGATCATGGAGGACATTCTGAAAAGCGGGGCAGTCGGGAGTGGTGACAATACATCCAATCAACAATTGGATGATCTATTAATACAAAAGCTCCATGTTTTGCTTGGTGGGAAGAAGTACTTGCTTGTGTTGGATGATGTCTGGGTTGAGGATATTGCAATGTGGATACGGCTAAAGAACGTGTTGGCCGTTGGGAATCCAGGGAGCGTTCTTTTGATCACCACAAGAAACTCCAAGGTTGCTTCCATCACCCAGACATGTGAATCATATGACTTGGACAGTCTTCCGATGGATGTCTGTTGGTCCATTTTCAAGCAGTTAGCATTTAAGGATGGCGAAGAAGACATATATCCGAACCTTCATGAGATTGGTTGGTCTATCAATAAGAAATGCCGGGGCATCCCGCTTGTTGTAAAAAGTTTGGGGAGTTTGCTAAGAAATGAGAGAAATGAGCAAGAATGGAGACGAGTTGATAGTATGTATAGTTTTTCCGAGCTAGAACAGCAATATGATAAAGTCTTGCAGCTTTTAAAGTTAAGTTATGTTAAACTTCCGTCCCACTTAAAACCATGTTTTGCTCATGCTTCATTATTTCTTAAGGATTCAATTCTTCATTCGAATGTTGTACCATATATTTGGAGCGCAATTGGTTTATTGCCTCTAGATAATAAGTACAAAGGTATTGAGGACTATGGATACTCTTACTTCATGGAATTGGCATCAAAGTCTCTTTTTGAAGAACCGAGTTTGTGTATTGATGGAATTTATTGCCAAAGTAAAATACATAATCTTTTGCATGATTTGGCCGTATACATTATGGAGGATGAATTGGCTGTTGTAACTTTGGATAAGGTGACAGATGTAAGCTTTGCTAGGCATATTGTTTGGGGATACAATAGTTCAGATTTAAGAGATAAAGAATTTCCTATGAAGCTTCTCAATGCAAAGAAAGCCCGAACATTTCGATTTGTTTATGAAATGAAACAACATGTGAGTATGTCCTTTCTTGAAGGAATTATATCTAATTTCAGCTGCTTACGCATCTTGGAGTTTGGGAGTCTTTGGTTTGAAGAGTTGCCAGAGTCAATTGGAAACTTGAAGCATTTGAGATATCTTGATTTGTCTTATAACCCCTTCATCAAATCACTACCAAGTAGAATATGTGATTTATTAAATCTAGAAACACTTCGTATTCATAGATGTGAGCAATTAAAAAAGCTACCAAGGAATATGCATCGATTGCAGAACCTAAAGAATTTTCAGGTTACAACATGCCAAGTGAGCTTAGTTGAGATCAATGAATTGAGCTCACTACAACACTTGTTCTTTGATTCATGTAAAAGACTGAAATCATTTTGGGACAACGATAATACTGGTCACCTAACTTCCCTCCGAAGATTATACATTGAAAACTGTCCAAAATTGACAAGCCTTCCAAATAGTATGAAGTATCTTGTTGGCCTCCAAATACTATTTCTACATTGTTGTGAAGGGTTAGATTTGAACCATCAGAGAGAGGCCTTTGAAGGTCTTCAAAGCCTCCGACTATTATACATCAACAATGTTAAAATGACGAGTCTCCCAAGTGGTATACAATCGGCTGCAACTTCTCTTCAATATCTCATTATTGTAGAATGTGGAAGTTTGATGGAGCTTCCAGATTGCTTTCATGGTTTTACCTCTCTCCGAGAAGTTTCAATAGGAGATTGTCCTAATATGTGGAGTTTGCCCCACTCATTTCGCCACCTTACTTCACTACAAAAGCTCTACATCGTTGGTTGTCCAAGCCTATCAGAAAGATGTGCTGTGCCAGACGGTGAAGACTACTCTCTCATATCACATTGTGCCAATTTCGAGCTTGATGGTGTTACTTTTACTCCAAGTCATAGTCGTTGAAAAAAGGTTGTGGTTTCTAAGCCCACTATTTGTGTATTTTGTTTCTTCAGATTATTGGAGTATCATTTTTAGTTTTTTATATGACATGATATAATCATAATTCATAAGCTGCCATTGTTATTATTAAGTTATCTTCAATGTTGACACAAAGAATTGCAGCAACACCTTTAAAAAAAAATTGTAGCCACAATTAAATTTCACATCAATAATGTAGGTAGTATATGTTGATCCTTGTTGACAAAAGATACCAATATGTACGTTGTAAACATTAATTGAAACTTATACTTTCTCCGTATTTTTTAATCACATTATTTAGGATTTTACACTATTTACACAATATTGTTTGACTATTTTTTGTGACTTATCTAAATGAAAAATATAATTATGTGGAATCTAGTTAGGTTCATCTCAACGCAATTTCTATGTTACTCCTGGAGTACCATGCTTAAGGTACTTCAGGTTTATAAAATTTAACTTATTTTGATGTTAATTTCTTATTATTTTAATTTATATATATGTTATTTTGAAATAAGTACATGTTATTTTATACTTGTATATATATATTTTTAATATTCAACATCGATCATTCCAATGTACTTCGACTCTAAAGTTCATAAAATTCATGTTATTTTGATATGAACTTCTTATTATTTTAGTTTTTATATAGGAAGTTTGTAATTATTAATCCCAACTTTGGGCCATTTACTTTCATTAATCCCAAGTTTCCGTTACTATTGAATAATTCCAACTTTGGGGGGCATTTTATTTTATCAGGCCAAATGACCGGTAACTTGTTGAAGGGGTAATTTTTGTTTTTTATTTTTATTTTTATTTTTTTATTAAATGCCACATGTCTTATTATTATTGGTTTAAAAATTATAGGAAAGAAAAACCAAAAAAAAAAAATTCAGAAAAAAAAAAAAAAACACACAGCCACCAATAAGAACCATCTGCCCCCACCGGCCGACCACCACACCGTCGCCCAAGCACACCTCTGCCCTTCTCCGGTGCCCAGGTGCACCTCCAACTTTCAATTCACCATTTTAGGGGTCGAGATTCACGTAGCTGGTTGTTTTGGGGGGTCGAGGTTTGTGGGGAATAGTGGTTTCTAGAGCCGCAGTTGCGCGACTGGTGATTTTGAGGATCAGGATCCGCGCGACTGTTGGTTTTGGGGGTCGAGGTTCGCGCGAGATGGTGGTTTTAGGGGTCGTGGTTGTTAGGCTGGTGATTTTGGGGGTCTGGATTCGCGTTGTTGGTGGTAATGGAGGGGGGGGGGGGTCGAGGTTCGCGCGGGATGGTGGTTCTAGGGGTCACGGTTGCTGGGCTGTTGATTTGGGGGATCGGGATTCGCGCTAATGGTGGTAATGGGGGGCCAAAGTTCGCGTGGACTGGTTGTTTTAGGGGTCGTGGTGGTGCGGCTAGTGGTTTTGGGGGTCGAGGTTCGCCGACCGATTGGTTTTGGTGGCCAAAAGGCGGTGGATGACGAGGTTAGGGGTGGGGGTTTAGGTTTCACGGTGGTAAAAGGGTGGCTAGGATGTCAGGGTGGGGGTTAGGGTACGGTAGTCCGGTGAACGAAAGGGGAGGGGTTGGAGTTTTTTTTTTTTTATTTTCAATTTTTGTAATTTTTTTTGACCAATCAGGGCTTGACACGTGTCAACTTACCTGTTATAATAGGTCATTGACTTTTATTGACCGATCATGTTCTAATAGAAGAAAATGCCCCCAAAAATTGGGATTATTCAATAATAATGGAAAGTTGGGATTAATGAAAGTAAATGGCCCAAAGTTGGGATTAATAATTACAAATTTTCCTTTTATATATGCTATTTTTATATAAGTACTCCAACTCTCCAAGTACATATTATTTTTATATATGTTATTTTTTTTATGTTATTTTTTTATTTTTTATTTATTTATTTTATTCATGTTGAAATAACATACTATTTTAGCAAAATAACACAAGATTGAAGCAAAATACACAAGGTTTAGGCAAAAATAACTCAATCATAATTGATATAGAGTACATGATCTAGGAGTATATAATACTAACTCTCAACTCAAAATCTACTTATTAAATAGAATAATTTGTAATTTTTTTTTGAAACAAAATAGAAAAATGTGTATTTTACCACCTCTTAAAACTCTATATTTTAAACTAAACACCCATTTTGGTATTTATTTAGAAATACCTCGTGGGGGGGGGAAATTTAATTTCACCTTTAATTAATCAGATAACACTTCATATAAAAAAACATTAAATAAAAATATCATTGATTTTCGTGCTGAAACTTATACTATCAATGTTTTGCGGGTCACTTACCAAACGAAACTTGCAATTATCAATGTTTTGTGGGAAGTTGTTGAAAATTGAAATTTCCATGAATTTTCAGTTACTCCATGAATTCAACCACCCAAAACTTCAACCTAGTCAATTTGTTGTACTCTGTATTATTAATAATAATTCAGCGAGTATATATTAAATATCCGTACAATTACTTCTTGTTTATTGATAAATTATGATCAATTTTAATTTGTAGAGGTATGTTTAATAAAATTATTTTTGTCGTTGAAGTTGTAGCCGTTTAGAATAAGGTTAATTGTTTGGCAAAATCGAAAGTGAAACCATGTGCGACATGTCTCCATGCTAGCTATTTGCCTTTACATGAATGTATTGACCCACTAATCTTACTTTAATCTCATGTACAAGAATAAACAAGCCCTTAATTTTTTAAATGGCCACTTGTAATTAATTTATAATTTACAATGTTTACAATTCACAGTTCACACACCTGCAAAATAGCTTGCTCAATTAGCGGAAGCAATCATTTTGCCAGTTGCTAAATCCATACTTGGAAAACTTGCTTCGTTTGCCGGCGATGCTGCCATTAGTCATGTTGCTGAAGAGATCAAAGCAGCCAAGTCTGCTAAGAAAGATCTCAAGATAATAGCTGAGAAAATGGAGGCTATTTGTGTTGTCCTTCATGATGCTGAAGAAAAGCAGTTTACCAACAAGGCCATGAAACTTTGGCTGAGAGATCTCAAGAACGTTGTTTATGATATTGATGATCTCTTCGATGAAGTGTGTATTTGTGTGTTATGAATGCTTATGCAGGAAAGTGAAACTAACTTAAGGGAAGTTAGTAGCGCTGCCTTCAGTTTCCCACACTCGATGAATTGCTTAAGAGGCTGTGGCTAGATGCTCAATAACTTGAAAAACAGGACTTTTTGATAATGCCAAAAGGGGAAAAAGAAGAAGCAAACTTGGAGGCTAAAGTTGTTCTGGGTGCCAGTTGAGAAAGTATCAGAAACTTCTCTGATATGATGCTGTAGTAGTTTACTTTATTTCTGTTTTGTTTGCTTTGTTTATTTTTGCTTTTTTTAATTTATTTTAGTGTGCGTTTCCTTCCTGTCAATAAACCAAAAATACAAAAATACGACCTTCTATTTTGTTTAACTTGTTTCTAAAGTTTGATTAAGTTTGTCATCATCAAAAAGGGGGAAATTGTTGAAGCATAAAGGTTTTGATGATGAGGAACTTAAACTAAAGCAAACTCAACTAATAAAGGTTTTCAAGTGTGTGATTAGTTTAGGTGAAGTTGATCTTGGTGATGGAAGAAGTAACTGGAACTAAGAATACATGAAGAGATCTTTATTGAAGGAGTTAAACAAATCAGAAGAAGAGTTATATAACAAGAACTAAGTTCCTTTACAGGAACTTGAAGACATCAAGCTTAAGTTCTTTGGTGGAACTTAATAAGCTTGGAGCCCAAGTAACCTACCTGATCAAAGGCGCGGCGCGGCAATAATATTTAGTTAAGGTTTTTATCTTCTAAATTATTGTTAATATGTTAAGTAGGTTAATGCACGAAATTTATTAGAAGCGTGACAAGTTTGCTTGGTAAATAAAATAATATGGAAAATTATAAAAGATAGATTTTAAAAAAAGATTTTCTAAAAAGATTATTTTTTTTTGAATCAGTTTGTTAAAAAGATAAATCTTTTTAACAAATATCTTTTTAATCTTATTTTCCGGAAAAGATTTTATTCCACTTAATTTACATAAAACCGTGTTTAAGGATAAGTTAAGTTAACTTATTTATATTTTAGAAATCCTACTTTCTATATGAGTAATACTCGTATAAATAGTAGAGAGCAAAATGGTTTTAGGTTTTTTTTTGTGAGTTTATGCGTGGAGAAATCACAGTGCTATAATTGAGTAAGTTTACCAAGCTTCTAACTTGTCATATTAGTTTCGGATTTCGTGCATTGCTTACCTATCATACTAGGTGTTATACATTTGTATTGGTTGGGTTATTAGGGTGAGTTTATAGTTTGCTTTACATACAATTTGTGTAAGATTCTAGGTGAAGCTGTGAGTTTTGTACTTAGGTGGTACAAGTATTTTGTTCTTTGGCAGTACGTGTAGTACTTTGGTGGTACGAGTGAATTTAAGTGTGGTGCTTAGATTAGGTAGGATAGGTACCTATCAAGTAGCAAGTCCAGTGAGGAACTTGTGAAATAAAGGTCCGTGTCTAATAGGTTGTAACTTGGTGTCTGCCCTATTATAGTGAAGTTTGTGTGTTTGAAATCCCTAAGGTAGGGTCGAGGTTTTACTTTCAGTTGGGCCCTGGAAGGTTTCCTCGTAAAATCCGTGTGTTATTGCAAGTTCCTATATGCATTGTTTTATTATTCCGCAAAAGTAGTCAATAAGAACTCTATACAATTCACCCCCCTCTTGTATTAATAATCTAAACTAACAAGACATCACTATAGTAGTTGTGCTTGGTTAAGTTAAATGTGTGTGTTTAACTAAAGTTAATTTGTGTTAAATTTATTTGCTTCGCTTGTGAATGTTATGGAACCAAATTTAATTGTCTTCTCGTTTTTAGTTTTGAGATGTTTTGGTTTACTTTTTTAGATTTATTTTGTTATTTTTACAGATAACATATGTGAAAATCAAACCTACATCTTCTATGTATTTATTTAGGAAAAATTGAGTTTATAAATCCCAACTTTGGACGGTTTACTATGAAAAATCCCAACTATTCATTATCCCTTAAAAATCCTAACTTTGATACCCATATTCTTTTAAAGATCCCAACACGTCACCAAACCTTTTACTT